TTTTTTTTTCTTAATATCTTTCTTCGCAGGACGCCACCTCCAAATACTTTCTTCTATGAAATCATCTATATGAGCTATAATCAAGAAAATTTGTATTAATCTTCGAAAATATTTTTTTATTTTTATTTCCTTATTGAAATGAATATAAACACCGAAAACCTTTCATATTAGAAATTAAAAGAAATAAGATCAATAACACATAAAATGAAAAATAACTGACTAAATACAATCATAAAATATAGGTTCTATATAATGAAAAAAAAATACACACGCATGCAAATAGAATAATATTTATTCTCTTTAACGTTTTCGTGGTGGTCGATTAGTTGTTAATGTTGAATTTGTATTCATACTTCGTTCTTCATCAAAATCATCATCAGTTAATGCAGCTGATGCAAAACGTGGTGTTGTTGCACGAATAATTTCATCGACAGATGCATTACGATTTTCATATAATAAAATATTTAATGTTTCCTCATAAATTCTTGCTTCGAAAAATTCAACCTAATATTAAAAAACAAAGAATTTTAAATCAATATTTTGTTTTTTTTTTTTTCGAACTTTATTTTGTTTTCGTTCAGTTGCATAAACAATAGATGTACAACAAACTTCAGCCATTTTTTGTCCATTACCATAAAAACTCCAACAACAAATTTCTTCACTACCAGTTACATCTTTTATAAATAAAATTCTATTATGTAAACGAATACTTAATTTATCAAATAATTCAATATTTTTCATTAACATTTCATCTGATGATCTAAAAACAAAAAGTCAACTTTATAGAAATATTCTTCAAAAAAAAAGAAACAAAAATATTAACTTACGCTGTATATGAATATTTATTATTATGTCGATTAATTGCTAATTTAACAATTGGTTTACGTACTGTAGCTACAATATTTGGTAATTCTTTTGCTGATGTTAACATAATTACTTTACAACAAGCATCTGTATCACCGGCATTTTTTCTTGAACGTGTTCGTAATTGTTGTTCAATAAGGTCAACAAGAGATTCTATACAATAAAATTTTGTTTCATTTAATAATTCATGTAATGTTTGAATACATTCAGGTAAATTAATTGTTCCATCACGTAAATAATTTAATATTACATTAAAATGTTTACCATCACGATCGATTAATACCCAACCTTATTAGAAAAAAAAAACAATGTTTTGATTTTTGTGAAGTTAAAATTTATTTCAATTGCACAATTAGATTTCAATATGAATCTTGAAAGTGTAATTTCAATTCAAGAACGATCGAATTATTTAACAAAACTGTAGACCTATGAGTTATCCTATCATCTCACTCTCGGTAACACGAAAGCTAAAACATAGGAAACAAAAATATATCGTCAGTTTATTAAGAGTCAATTAAATTAAATGGTCAATACAGAAATTGAAATGTGTTTTAGTGTGATACACTTTTCTTGCTTGTATTATGTAGTACGAATGCTTTGTACAATGCACATGTAGGTACTTTGTTTCTATATTTTCCTTCAACTTCAGTTTAGAGTCTAGAAGATGAACATGGTACAAGTTGCTCAATATAAAAGTGATGTATCCGATGAAGAGATTATGGAAGGAAAATATAAAATAAATGAAAACGAAGAATCTTGCCGAAAAAAATCAAAGTTTTGGATTAATGAGGCTACAATTTGATAATATTAATCGAGCAGAAACATCAATTTTAAATGAGAAGTCAAAACATTATACGAACTCTACAGAAAATCAGAAAACAATTTATTACAGATACAACAAAGCCAAACATCGTAGATCTTAATTTAGAACAAATATTTGTCTGCTATATTTATGCAGACAATAAAAAAAGTTACTGTTCGTAAAATTGAAGCTGAGCACGATGATCATAATTGTGTGAATGAAATAAAAACCAATTCGAATCCACGGCTAATTTTATACAGATAACAAAAAACTCTACTGGTAAAATCTATACCTCTCATTGATCAAATTTGAATTTTTTACTAATCATCATATCTAATAAACCATTCAATTCTTATACTGATCACTTGAGTATTTTCTTTTTACAGACTATTTCGTCTTTGTGGATAACCGTTGAAACGATTGCCATATCTAGAGCCTGTTGAATCGTAATCGAAATTGAATAGTCGCGCCGAAGATACGAGATATTTTTTTTTCGGATTCTTGCAGTCAGTGAATAACGCATTCTACACATTTCTCTCCGTTGGGTCCAAAATTTTTGCACGCAATCAGATCCGAAACCAATTCGATGAGTTTCTAGCCCCTATTTCTTATAACACATTGAATAAAATCCGTTAATTGATTCGTGTACATACCTTCACTATCTTGTACAACTTCCATACGTCCACTAAACATTGCTTTAAACATTGTATCTTCTTTGGTTAAAGTATCAAAACTTGTTAGAAAAAGATGATTTCCTACATTAAGTTTAACATATTTTCCAAAATGATTATTAGATCCTGCCATGATATTTCGATTCGATGTCGATATTGATGGCACGGTAGGTGTAGTTGTATCACTCATCTGAAACATATGATTCATATACTTTTTTTTTCTTTTTATCTGACAAACTTTTTCATTTTCTATACTATTAAAAACAAATGAAGAAATATGAAGAAAGAAAAATAAAAATAAAGACATGTTCTTGTATATATATTTATTGATAATATGAACTTTTATAATTTTAAAACGAGACTTAATTGATTGTGAATGAACCTAATTTCAGAGTGAAAGGAATGGAAAAAAACATAAATGTTTATTTGAAAGAAAAATTATCAATATAATTTTAAATGACGGGTTATCTCATTGATTAATTTCGAAGGTGCTAAAAATAAACAAATAAATAATAAATAATTTATATATATAATTTTATTAAACTAACCTGGTCCAATTCCAAGTACTGTTTTACTACCGGGTTCAATCTGTGTACGACCTTGAATAAAATTTTATTTAATTTATAAACAATTAATTGAATAAGATCTTTCTTCATACCTGCATCTCGTATCAGACAAGTTGTTAAACCTTTACGTTTAGCTTGAAGTCGTAAATTTTCTCTAAAATAAATAAATATATATATATATGAATAGAAGCTTTTTTTTGTTGTCTTAAAATTTTTTTATTACAAATCATCAGCTGATTCACATTTACAAACAACTTTTGCTTGTCCACAAGAAAACCATGTATCAACAGCATCAGGTACTTGTTCACATGCTTTTTGAAAACAACCAAGTGTTGCATGCGAACACTATTTAATGAGATTTGTTTATTCTTTTCTTCTCGTTAACAAAATTTTATTTCACTTACTTGTGCTGCTACTTTTCCTATAAAAAAAGAAATAGTTAAAATAAATAAAATTTAAATTTTACCTTTTCCCATTTTCAAATCATTTCTTACTACAAGTACCATCTAAAATTCGATTAATTTTATTATAAAAAAAGTTTATTAGCAAAATTTCTATGGGATTTAAATGTGAAACACGATATGGATGCTGTTGCTAATCACATGAACACTAATTTTTTTTTACTTAATCCTCTAGACATGCAATAAGGAAATAGTTCATATAGTGTAATAAGATCCGACACTGAATCAAATTGACTTTTACAGATTCGAGTTTGGTTCGGACCGTTGCCAATATATAAATTTTAATTTAAAATAATAAATTTTTGTGAATTAAAATTCAACAAACTAATCGTCAAAATACATGACTTCAAGAAAAATAGATTAGAAGTAAGGAGAGAAACTGCTATTATACCTTAACATCCGAAGATTTCATAAGAAAAAAACGGTTGCATTCCGTTCCTGTTATTTTCTAATGATAATAAAAAACTTATATAGATACTTTTGCTAGTAGACGTAAGAAATGTAGTTTAAATTATTTTGAGTTTATTGAATTTTTCAAAAATTAGTTAGATTTGATTCAGTTTAACGTTGCTTTTTAAGAACTGGTTTGAGTTCGGTCTCTGAATAAGATGTTATTGATATACAGTCTTTAGTTATATATCCATAACGTCTGTCGAGCTTCTCTGAAAGAGAAAATCTGGATAAAATATTGCAAATTTTCACTCCTATATTTCTGTTTCACAAAATATTAATTTTAATATACTCACTTTATATTCTCCTTCGGCATCGGAACAACCTGGTTCGAACTACAAAAAAAAACAATTTTCCGTTTCTTAATTTTTATTTTATGTATTATTATTTCTACTTACACTTGTTTCATCATCACGTTCATCTCTACCAGAATCAAATGCATTCGAAACAACTTTTACAGTACTACTAACAAATACAGATGAGCTAAATAGCCAACCAAGTGCTAAACCTTAAATGAACATATTATAATAAATATCATATATCTTCTTTCTTTGATTTTTTTTACCTCCAAAAAATCCAGCCAAAAGGCCAGCTATAACATTTTTTTCACTAAACCAAGGAACTTGGTTCATAAGAAAACTAAAAAAAAACGAATAAATCATTGTTAGCTAATCATTATAATAAATAATGTAAACTACATCTTACTCGCCTGAGAATGATGACATCGTTGGAACAAAAAAATGTTAAGTAATAACAAAAATAGAAAAAAAAAAATTTTATCAGATATTAATCTAAAAAAAAAATAACGCGTTGTTACAATGGAATGAATCTTAAATATACATATATATATCGACAATGTACGTACATTCATATCGAAATATATAAAATATATAGGATAATTTTTCTTACATAGGTAAAGTCTCTAATGGAAGATTAAGAGAAGACAACTTATTTTAGATATTATGTAGAAATATATATCGAGCATGAAGATCAACATGCATCTAATAATAAACAAGGAAGTGATAAGATGAATAATGGTTAATGTTGTTCGTATGTCAATCAATTGTAATCTTTGTCATCAACACACTACTAATTGATGTCATTCATAAACTCATCTGTATTCAATAATAGAAAGTGTACGCAAAAATAGTCTTTATATAAAAATAATTTTCATTCTTTTTTTGTTTTATGATTTTAAAATATACAATTGTTCAAGTGCAAAACGTGTACCATTAGTTAAATTTTCTTTTTGATTATAATCAGCTGTTGTAAGTAAATCAAATGGTAATTCACACATGCCTGTTGGATGAATATGTGCATGAAACATGACTAAATTTTCTAATACATTTGTTCGTTTACAAATATTTCCTATTTGTTCATATGAAAGCCATGTATAAGCATCAACTTCATTAGGATCAATTTTAACCGATATTTCATCACTTGTTCTTGATGATCGTATATGTAAATAAATAACAATATGATGACGACGTGGTAAACCATGATCAAGAGCAGCTGGAAATGACGACTAAAAAAGAAACAATTTTATTGATATAAAAAAAACAACAAAAAGATAAATTCTTATTTTTACCTCCCATAAAGCTAATGTTCGTGATGTTTCAAGTTCATTTTTATTTACTTCAATACCTACTTCTTCATGTAATTCACGAATACCTGCTTGTATTAACTACATTATATCTATTTTATTTTGCATAAAAAAAAAAAACAATAAGAAATATTTACTGTTTCGCCTTGTTCAATTCCACCACCAGGACATACCCAACATGATGGAAATGTTCGCATATGACTTGCACGTCTTGTTATAAGAATACGTTGATCATGAGATTCATATAGTACAACTATTCCAACTGCAATTGAATTCAATGGATTATCAGAAATAATTGATGAATTATTTTGTAGACAAAGATTAGTAAATGGACAATATGATGGACGCTAATCAATAAAAAAAAAAAAATTTATTTTAAATATCAAATGATAGAGAAAAAAAATAAAACATACTCGAAATAAAATTATTGATTTATCATTACGTTGAATAATTAATTGATCATTTTCATAAGAAATATCGACATTAACATATTCATTATTCGGATTTAATTGATGAACTAAAGGCTATAGAAGAAAGATAATCATGTTTTTAATCTTATTTAAACTTACTGTAATAAATTTCGGATAAATTTTTTGTTCATCAATATCAATTAATAAAATTTGTATCTTAAATCGATTATTATCCGTCATCTAACATAAACAAGAAGGAAAAAAAATAATATGAGTTAAAGAGAACATTTTGTACAAACTAAAGGTTTCTTTTCTCCTTTTTTCTTTTTTTGTTTTTCAATACACATAAGAAACAAAACAATGACAAACAGTGTATATATACACACACACTAAAATAATCTAGTCTTATGATTAGAGATTAACGTTGTTGAGCACCATAATATTGAGCAACATTATATGGTCCACTTGAATATGATTGATGTTGTCGATGAGATGATGGATAAATTCCTTGTGATTGTTGTTGTAAACCAATCGGTAGATCATGTCGAATTGCTCCTTGATTATTAGCTGTTCCATATGGATCATTACGATAATTTGAATAAAGATTATAATCACTAGAAAAAAAAAACACTGATGTTTTTTTTTGCAAAAAATAAAATAAATACTAACCGTTGATCGGGAAATTCTGGATCACGTGGTCGACTAGCATAATATTTTTCATAAGGATCATAATTATGATAAGGATCTCCTGCTGGCGGTACTCCTTGAGATACTGCACTACCATAATATGGATCAACAGCTGCTGTACTTAGATGACGATCATAAGGTCTATAGAATAAGAAAAGAAAAACAAAATATCTTGAAAACAAAAAAAAACAAAAAAAAGACAAATTTTCTTACCGATTTGGACCATAACTATCTAAACGTGTATGTGATGGTAAATCACGATAATGATGTACTTCTGTTTGTCCACTAGCAACATGACTACCATAACCTTGTACATCATATCCAGTACTATAACCATTATCACGTCCATCTTCATAATAACGATGAGAATCTGATCGAACATTATAAGAACGTGTTCGATCATAAATACCATGATCAACTGGAATACTATCATAAGGACGAATAGTATTACGAACCCAAGCTGAACTATTATGACGTATTGGACCAACACTACCAACTGATGCACCTGAACTATATCGAGGTACACCATTACTATTACCTTTAGTTCCAGTACGCGTACGAGAACTAGATGAAAAAAAAAACAAAAAACATTATCCTATTTATTTTATATTCGAATATGAAAATAATCATACTGTCGTAAAGCACTAGTAGGTTCTGGTTGACCTGGTCGATGTCGAACTGTACTCGTTGAAAGCTAATATGAAGAATGATTTCATTGAAAAATACAAAAAAAAAAAACTAAACAATATCACTTACTTCAACACGTAATCGTTTACCATGAAATTCTTTATTATTTAATGCAAGTACTGCTTTTTCAGCTTCTTCTATTGAACCATAATGCTAATCAATATTCAACATATATATCAAAATAATATTATAAATTATTTATAATCTTACAATAAATCCATAATCTTTAATCACTGATGCTTCAAGTACATTACCAAATGATGAAAATAATTCATTTAATTCACCTAAATAAATAATTCATTAAAATAATATATTTAATTATTATTATACCTGGTTGTGTTGCTGGATCAAGATTACCAATAAATAATTTTGTTTTTACTACTTTAACTGATCCACTCATTGTATATGTTCGTATCTGCATTTAAAAAGAAAAAAGTATAATTATTTTAATTAAATATATAAATTTTCCTTTACAAAATTTTAACGAAAAAAACAAAATATAAACGCAATGAAATTATCTTCATCTTCGATTTTCCTATGTTTACATTAGTGAAAACGATTAATATCGAAATGATTAGAAGAAAGATCACAATACAATAATAACAGCGAAAAAAAAAAGACATACAAAATACGTATATACATCAAAAAAACAAAAAATAGAAAATAAATAATTTAACAGATACACAGTTTTTATTTGTGTTCTATATAATAAGAATAAATACAACGAATTCTTTCAGATAAATCAATCGTTTCAACGTCAATGGCGCATAATTATTCGTCATATTGTGTTCGTCATCGATTCGAGCATAGATCAAATACGCAACAAACTGTGAGATGAATGAGAATAAGAAGCGAAAATATATACGTGCGTATTTTAATTCGTAACGAAACGCGAAAGCGAAGAATGCACAAGCTAGAAGAATAATGAGAAAAAAACATGCATTCGATTTTATATACATTAATAAATAGAAAATTCTGTTTTCATCTTTCAGAAATTCAATTTCATTCATATATATATATCATGGAAAATAGGCATTCGACTAGTGCATGGAAAAAGTGAAGCAGGTATATTAAAATCTCTAAAGTGATATTGTAGATTCGATTATTCTGAAAACTAAACTAATAATTTCAAAAATTAATCATAGTCAATTCGATATTGATATTATTTATATAGAATGCGGACTAAGATCAAAACTCATTAGAAGGAGAATTCCTCCATCTGACAAAGATATCAACAGTCAGTCTTTTTTTATATTAGAATATGACATACGATGCAAAATCTATCTGAAAAATTAACACTCATCAAGACTTCTACTGACGAGGGAAGCTCCTTAACTAATTAATCACTTTTTGAATTGAAAGTATGATGTACTCTTAATGAGTTATAAGTATCCCGAAAAGAGTTGAGGTTCATAGCTTATTGCTGCTGACATATTGCATTCTTACAATATAATGCCATGGTTCCTCTTAGTAGAGCCTATCGGACCCGATGTGCTCTATTCCTCAGAGACACCAAGAAAACTGATTTTGGAATTTCGACTTGAAACTTTGCATAGAAACAAGCCTAAACGAGAATGGATGCAGCCGTGAAAGTATCAAGCCATTTGATCTATTTCTATCCTGAATCTGTGAGTGTATATGAGCGATGTAGAAGATGCACTTTTACTATGACTATATCTTGAGATAGGAACAAAGAAAGTATCTAAAATTTTCGTAATAAATTATTCTTGTTAAGACTTGTTTCTATGCAAAAGGTTCAAGTCAAAATTCAAAAATCAATTTTTCTGGTGTCTCCGAGATGGACCACAAAATATCTTTAAAATGTAATATGTCGGCAGCAGTAGGAAGCTATTGTTTCGAACTCTTTTCGAGATATTCATAACGTACATGCTATCAACTCAAAAGTGATTAATCATTTGAGGAACCTTCCATCATGAGATATTAGATTGCAATGAAAGAAACATGAGGAAATCTTTCCATGTGATAAAAAACTTTTTACATGAAACTTGCATTATTAGGTAGAGTCTACTAAGACTAGACAAACCCGATAAATAATTCATCTCCTTGTTGCTTTATTTTCGAGTCATGACTGATTTTTTTTTTGGTCAAATGCAATTATGTCATTTCAATCTCAACTTTAGATTGAAATGATGATATGCGAACATGAATCATTATAAATTTTGTCTAGTCTTAGTAGACTTTACCTAATGATACAAATCTCGATTGAAAAGTTTTTTTTTTCTATCACTTGACAAAGTTTCTCCTCGTAAAAAAAAAAGAACGATCTAGTTTATTTGTTATATTGTCTTTCTTTCGCAATATAAATTCGATGCGACGTATATGTATAATCTTATCGAAAGAAAATTAAAAAAAAAAAAACATATATATATTTGTTTAAGCGAAAAAATATCTGAAAGTGTAAATTCTCACATACCTCATATTATCTAAATGATAAATTATTTGTTATAATAAATTTTTCTTCGTCGTCATATACATCTGAATTGAACTTAGATGATTATATGTATGACAATATCAAAAAGTTTGACGTACACAATTATCATAGAAATCAATCATGAAGATGATGATGATATTTAATCGATTCAATTCGAGTTTATAAAGTCGTTACAAAACTTACAGTTTTTTTTTTCTAATTTATTTACAAGTATATAATCACCTTTTTCTTTTTTTTCTCTTCATTGACATACGAGTTTCATTTGAATAGAGAATACACATTAAACGTACCGCACCCATAATTTAATAGAAATAAAAAAACCAATGAACCATTATAGAATTTGATAAGTTTATCATGAATTGTTCTTAAATGCTTTTTTTTTCTTCAAATATTTGTTCACATGTTAAAATATATATTGATTCCGAATAGCATGTACAAGTGAAATAAAAACACCACTAAATTACAATAAAATATCTGATGAAAATTTTCTTTAAAACTAAGATTATTTAAAGCATGTATCATTATTTTATCCAGATTTTCTCTTTCGAAGTAGTAATCTCGAACTTCGGGAGAGGATGGTGAATAAGCATAGACATATTGTACAATAACAATAAAATTCGGAAAAATCAATCGATTATGTTCGAAGAGGAAAAATCTTCTTTAATGAATAAGTGTTATTCATTTCGTATAAATCCTATGATTTACATAATTAAAATATTAATTACTATAGGATTTGTTTATTATACTTACACAAAAAAGAAAACCGAGAACTAAGAAAAACTACTTGAAAATGAATAAATAATATTTGATATTCTGGAGAAATCATTTGCATAATAATATTTAACGCATGAATCGAACTAAATAGATTAAATAAAAATGGATGTATATAAAAGGATTCATTCAATTTCAAATTAATATCATTGGTGTTAAAAATTAGATATTAATATATCTTAATCGATATCGGAAATCAAATTTTTCCAAAAAGAATTTTTGTTTATTAACATACAAGATTATCGTTTCGATGTTTTAAATTTTCTTTCGCTGATTACTAATTTTGAAATGTCTTATTTTTATATATGATATTTTTCGTTAAAAAATCGAACTTGTTCTATCACTAATGTTCGCACGAAACACAAATGTAATCTCAATAATTAGGCAACAGTAACAACCGCCGACTTGCGATTTTCAGCAATCGAAAGAGAAGAACTCTGTCTAAAATAAAAACTTTTCTAAAAATTAACAGAATTCAATTGAATATCTATGTGATTTTGTTTGCTCGATATTGAGATGCGAGCAAAAATTATCATCTGAATCGTGCCTTGGAAAAATAGATAAGAAGCACATGTCAAATGCAGATTTTGTTTTGAATGTTTTATGAAAATGATAGGTTTTAAAATAATTCTATCGTATATAA